CACAACACTAGAAAACCGGGTAGCACATATAGGACAAGGGAATGGGCTTTTAGGTTTAGGCAACAAGAGGCCCAATAGATGATCAACGAACGAGTGGGCTATCAACTAAAAGCCGTCCAAGGTAATTGGCCGAGCCATGAGCAACACTAAACAAATTAGGCTACTTCGAATGACCCACTTAGGGTGTCAGGAGGGTACGTTCATTTTGGTGTCGACATTCCACTTCAATCATCGGCCGAGGCCTATGAAGACTAATCCAACATAAACCTGTTTAACATCATCGCTCGGATTTATTGGGTATAAAAAAACCCAACAACTTTTGTTTTATTCAATTTAGTCAAATTAAATTATGAAAAATATGCATATAGAATCATAGATAGCATATTTTTCATAATATTTTCTTATTTTAGAAATTACTACATTACATAATCTGCACGACCAAGTGCATCCACACACAGTGACGTTAGGGTTCGGTAAGCCCACATAGGGTCTGCAAACGGCCAGTGCCTTAGGCCCATGCCATTGTTGGCATGCTTTCAGGCAACCGGACTGACTCTGTTGCCATTCAAACAATCGTCGGTTGCCCATGGAAGTCCTTCGTAACAATCTTTAGCATTAATTTCTTGGGTTGAAAACATAATAATGGTGAACAAAATGCAATAAAAAGCTGTAGAAGATTTTGGACTTGCCATTCTTCTGAACAAACTTAAAGATCAATTTTCTACTCAAATATTTATAGTGACAAGGTTACACAAAATTCCAGAAATCTTATTGTGAAATTTGAAAACCTTGATAGGATTTTATTGAATTCCTTCTTAAAAATCTGCGTTAATTTTCGGGATTGAAAAAACAATGCTGAGAAGAAAAGTGAAGTAAAAAGTTGTAGAGAATTTTGGATTTGCCATTCTTTCAAAACAAACTCAAATTTTTTTAAGTTTACTGAAGAAATTTCTTGGACTGTAGTTCTATAGTGAAAGGTTACACAATTTTTTCTAAACTATTACTCATTTGTTTGGAAATTACCAGGTTATGAAATCTATTACCCTATTTCCCTTTAATTGTTATTATTATAAAGTTTCGAATGCATTATGGGATTTCTTCTCCTGAAAGAATTATGTTTTTGGTAAAGAAATAGCGACTTGATTCAGAAAAAATCCTTTAACAACCAATTGATTTGGGGGAATGTGTAGTTAAAGGATTGTCGAATTTCAATTCAGTTGGACTGCCCAAGAAAAAATGGGCCCACCAATTTAACGTGACAAATATCTCATATGTATTAAAATATTGGAAATCGCGATTCCAAACTCGACTTGAGTTGCTATTTCTTAATCATGTCCTGTTCAAATAATCGAGTGTATCAAACATGCTTCTAACAGTAGTAATTGTTCCTCTAAAACGACGTCAACTACCATGGTGCACATGCAAGATAAAGAAAGTGAACATGGGCACATCTATTCGAGGGTCGGAACTCTGACAGCTGAGCTAGAGGAGACAAAGCAAAGCCTTCAAAAGGCACGGGAAGAAAGCATTCAAATGGTAAGTTGCTGTAGAATAATGGACTCCAATCCAACCAATTTTCGGGCTTAGTCTCTTCCAATCGACCACCACAATCAACAACCCAATCCCAAACCAAAACACCCAACCGACAGCTCATGAGTTTGCCCACAAAGGGCAAGGTGTGGAATATAGTAGCCTCAAGGTTCAGCCACAAAGCCTAGAGAAGAAGGAGGAGACAAGGCACAATCAAGCACAAAGCAAGACCGGGAAGCACAAAGCCAAAAAAATGGGGACGCTGCCTTTCTCTCCACGAACCGGCTGCTCAAGTTTCACACGCACATCAAATAGTAACGGGGCGACATATATAAAGGTAAGAGTGTGGGCCTTTAGGTTAAGGAATAGTAGAGGCCCAATATGTAATATATAAGTGGGCAATCAATCGAAAAGCCTTCCAAGGTAATGAGTTGAACCATGAGCAACACTAATAAATTAGGCTACTTCAAATTACCCAAGAAATGGTTGTCGGATTGGTATGAACAATTGTAGTGTCGGTATTTCACTTCACTCATCGGCCGAGACCTATGAAGTATAATCCAAACAAAAAACGATTTAATATCATTGCCCGAGATATATTGGGTGTTAAAACCCAACAGTTGCCTCTCTACTTTACAAGAAGAACTCGAAAGGACTAAAAGGGAGCTACAAGAACTAATGCAACACGAAACAGATAAACGCTTGCTCGATTTAGAGATTGAAGAGCTCAAATTTGTGGAGGAATCAACAAATTACAAGTTAAAAAGGAATCCACAGATGACAAAGTTGAGGTTCAGAAAGAGAAATATGTGAGATTTGCAAATCCTCCATCTGTGGCTCAAATTTAAGTACCAAAACCAATTGATGATGCTGTGCTCTAAAGGAACCCTTCTCTCAAGAAGAAGAAGACGAAGTAATTTATCCCACTCATTGGAAGGACTTTTTCAAGAATTAAAGGGTATTCTGAAGTTGCATCGCCGTGAAAAATATATGCGCAAGAACTCGTCTTTCTATATTTTCTTTAATTCAATTCTAAGAAATCCAATTTTCCTCCTATTTTCTATAGCAAAGAGAAACGAAATGATGTTTTTAATTTTGTTCATGAAATTCGTCACTCTTTTTTTTCATGACTCCCTCATTTAAATGAGAAGGACATACGAAAATTTGATTAAGCCTTGTTTGGACAAAAATCAATTTTTTAGTAAATTTTGATCAAAGTTGATGAAATATGTGTTTGAAAAATTGTGGGGTTTATGAAATGTGTTATTAAAATTAATTGTGAACTTTGACATAGATTTTAATCCATTTTTGTAGTTGAAACAAACACGGGATTTGTTCTTAGCGATTTGAGAGCGATCTTGGATCTTCTACTACAAAATATGGGAGAAATTACATATGCTTGGCAAACATAGGAATACTACTTCAAGAAATATATGTGATGAAATTCTCATTCAATTTTATTTCCTTCATAGGTTAATTAAATATACATGAACTACGCCTACGATCTTGGGTCCCAAGTCGAGTATGTATGCAAAGAAGAGTTATAGTAGGTTCCCACAGCATAAAACTTTTCAGACGACTCAAATCTTATACTATGGTGATGATCCTAGTTCCTAGGATGAAAAAGGATTCATGTAGGCACCAAATTTATTGAGCAAGATTTATTTTTTTGAAAATTATCAACTTTTTCATCTCCGAGAAATGAACGTACATAATCATCACATTGCCCAAATTGATATATACTTACAAAACTCACAGCATAACGTCAGACTTTCTTTCACTAAATAGGACACCATCCTGCGATGACTTGTTAAAGAACTCGATACAATCAGCAATGGCCTCATTATAATGCGAACTCGATGAGTAATAAGAGCTGCATGAAGTCTTTGGAGGGTCAGGCCTGTCGCATGATCTCCGCATCGCCGCCACCGGAGCACTGACTGACGCTTTAGAACTTCGGAGGGAAAAAATGACCCGCATTAAGATCTTGCGAAGACGATCGAAGATTTTCATGGCAGAAAAACCCTATTGATAATATTTCAGAATTATTTGTTCTTCACAACTTTTACTTAATGAGTTATAATATCTACTTACATAAACTAGAGATGAGGCCTATACAATCCTATCTATAAAATATGAAATTCTTGCGAAATATTCTCCGGGAAGTGTAATGCCATCATTTGTGTCGTATGGAGGAATAAAAAGAGTGGAATTTTTCGAAAATCTTGCGTTTATTATTCAATATGACAGAGGACTCAATGATCATATTCAGAAGATAAAAGATGGTGTCTCAGCCATGTGACCAAATCATTTACATAGGTTTCCTTTGTCCAAAACAAGTACATTTGTTTATTATTTTAAAGTTCTCTCGTTGTCTTCAAGTATAAGAAATGTCTCAAAAACATACAACATTAGAACAATACAAAATTCTCAATAACAAGACCCCCACCCCCGGGGCGGAAAGATGTTCAGGTTACGAAAAATGTACCATTCAAGAACCAAAAAATGTAAAAGAAAAAAGGAGAGAAAATATTATTTAAATTTAGGGAAAATTGCAGCAGCGGTCCCTAACCTTTCCAATTTTTGCAAATTTTACCCTAGCCTTTACTTTGTGTCATCCATAATCCCAAACCTTTCATAAATTCGCACCTGAGGTCCAAACCATTAGTTGACCAAGAAATTCAACTTTGACCAAATTTAGACCATTTTTAAAGGGTAAAATGGTAATTCTAAATTTTATACATAAAATAAGTTAAAAAATTAAACTAAAAAAATCAAAAAAATCAAAAAATATATAAACTCACCTCCTCCGCCAGTCACTACCATTTTAAGGACGGAATGCCTCCATCTCCTCCTCCAATCACTACCAAAATTGATCCTTCACCGGAGGCTCCGAAATTGGAGTGTCCCACCTCTGTCCGGGCCCTCGCGTTCCTCGTCCGAGAGGATTGCTAGTCGGAGAAGGTGACCTTGACGCTCATTAAGGCATGGGGGTCCCACTACCTGGAGCTTAACCATGGTAATCTCCGGCAGAGGCACTGGCAAGAAGTGGTTGACTCTGTCAACGCGCACTCGAAGAAGCTCTACCGTACCGACATTCAGTGCAAAAATCGCGTCGACACAATCAAGAAGAAGTACAAGATCGAGAAGACTAAGGTATTTCAATCCAACGGCAAATACGCCTCCACGTGGCCTCACTTCGATAGCCTCAATTCCCTCATCTGTAATACCTTTTTGAAGGCTAATAGCATCCCCCACAATAGTTATAAGAAAAAACTTCCTTGAAGAGTTTCTCTATCGTCGGAAGTGTAAGCGATATGCCCTAAGTCCAATCAACTTTGGACATAAACACTTTGAATATATATATATAATCAATGCATGTGTATGGCAATATCTATTATTTAATTGAATTAATATTCTAATAAATTAAATAATAGAATCCGTAGATTCAAGTCTTGGTGATTTGTTAATCACTAGGAGTTGTGATTGTGAGATACAAATTACATATGATTGAATCTTAAATCGTCCGTGGTCGAAGTAATAACGAGATACGGATATCGTTATTACCGATAGACTATCGCGTGTGGCATTCTTACTTGTGAAGTAAGTAGCTGATCTCACAAGTTAAAGTATGGTGACACTTGAATGAACACGTGGATATTTTGTTATAGAACAAAACATTGGAGACCCGCTGAGAGATTCCACATGGATAA